TGGGAGGCTGAGGCAGGGAGATCCCTGTGAGTTTGAGGCCAGTGAGTTCAGGCCTGCCTAAAAGATTACAGAGTGAGAATGTGACAAAAAAGACAAAGAAGAGAAAGAAAGAAAGAAAGAAAGAAAGAAAGAAAGAAAGAAAGAAAGAAAGAAAGAAGAAAGAAAGAAAAAGAAAAAAAGAAAGAAAGAGTTGGATTTAATTGTAATTGCTGTGAAAGTAAAAAAACTACAACTTTTATTATTTTATATTTGGTTGAAAAAAAATTTAAATGTATATATTCTTTTACCAGCACCCTTAAAATTATTTGTGTTTGGCGTAAGCACTTGATTTTGTCTGCTGCCAATATATGAAAAATACTAGGTTTGGGGTTTTTTTGTCTTTATAAAGGTGGAGATAAAATTGAACTAGTGTTTGACACTCTTTCTCAGACAGGGTTTTACTGTTTAGTCCAGACCAGTCTTGAGCTTGCTGTGTGGATGTAGCTCAGGCTGTCCTTGAAGTCCTGATCCTCCTGCCTCAGCCACCATGCCAGGCTCAACACTAGTTCTTTTTATTACCGTCTCAAAGATTAGAGTTTAGTTAAAGGTGTAGGTCTCCTTAATCTACAGCCTATTATTAAATACATTTTTTAATAAATTTTTTTTGCAGCTGGGCATGGTGGTGCACACCTATAATCCCAGTACTCAGGAGGCTGAGGCAGGAGGATCATTGAAAGTTTCAGACCAGCCTGGGCTACAAAGTGAGCTCAAGGCCAGCCTACACTGCATAGCGAGACCCTGTGTCAAAAAAAAAAAAAAAAAAAGACAAAAAAGTTCTTCTAAAGGTGGCATGTCAGTGTGGTTGAACACCTTTTTAATGAGCTGACCTGTAATGTCTGATGCATGAGGAGTTTTTAATGTGGGTGTGTCTTCTTTTACTTCCAGCGCTACTTGGCCGTGTGCTGTCCGGCGACTCGCACAATCTTACCTGAAAGACCCGATGATTGTGTATGTTGGTACTTTGGATCTAGTTGTAAGCTTGTTCTTTACTACTATTAAACCTTCTATGATATTTAAAACACATGCTAAAGGGTTAGGTGTGTGGTCCAGTGGTAGAATGCATGTAGAGCATGCACCAGGCCCTTGGTTCAGTCCCCAGCACTACCCCTCCAAACGAAAACCTTCATAAAGCACACGTCTCATTTTGGCATGTCTGCTCTTCCCACTCAGTAAGATTCATTTTAACATAACCATTATGTACCATTATGTCCCATTCAACATTTTATTTTTTGTTTATTTGTTTGAGACAGGGTCTCACTATGTAGTACAGACCAACCTTAAAGTCACTTTGTAGCCCAGGCTGGCCTCAAACTCGCGGTGATCCTCCTGCCTCAGCCTCCCGAGGGCTGGGATTATGGGCGTGCACCACCACGCCTAGCCACATTTACCATTTTAATAATCCCTGAATATCATCGTCAGTGTTAATATTTTACCAACTTCTCCTTTTTTGTTGACTCTGTTAGTGTCAGAGTACAAAGAGAAGTCTACACATGTGCATATATGAAAGT